TTTGCATCATCAGGTGAGCCTCTTGGCCCCTTACTTTTTACATTATTTATTAATGACCTCCCCTCTACCTTGTCACACTCTCATATTCTTATGTATGCTGATGATGTGAAACTTATTCTGACATACAAAGACCCTTCTCATTTTCATCGCCTGCAGGATGATCTGAACTGCATGCAATCTTGGTGCTTAGCTAACCACTTGCACCTCAATTGCTCTAAATGTAAGTTCATGACATTTCACCGAACCTTGCCTCATTTGGGAACGTATATCGACTGTTGAAGACCTTGGGGTTCTTTTTGATTCCAAATCGAACTTTAACCTTCACATATCTAGTATTGTCAATAAGGCCTAGGGATTACTTGGATTCATTAAACGTTGGTCCGTTGAATTTAATGACCCTTATACCACTGAGCTTCTTTACACTGCTCTAGTACGCCCTGTGCTTGAATACTGCTCATGCGTTTGGTCTCCGCAGTATAGAAAGCATCAGGAAAGTATTGAGTCTGTTCAGAAGCAATTCCTTCTTTTTGCTCTACGTGGTTTAAGCTGGGATCCCAATCTCTGCTTGCCATCGTACTCTAGTAGACTGATGCTTATAATAAATCATAGGACGTTTCTTGGAGTAATTTTTCTCCACAAGTTGGTTATCGGCGAGGTTGACTCCTCTGCCCTCTTAGGTCGCCTTAATTTTTCAGTTCATTGTAAACCAACAAGGAATTATTTGCCCTTCATATTGGCAAGATGCACAACTGATTACGCTTTGCACAATCGTTTTCGGGTCATGTGCAGCCATTATAATGATCTTTCACATTTACTTTCGACAGGACTCTCTCTCTGTTCTATCAAAATTATTCTTTATAATTATCTTCGGGGAAATCTCTGACCACTTACTGCTGTGAGTTGGGGCATAGCTTGCCGGACTGGCATTTAAAATTTTCCCCACCGGGTTAGAGATTTCCCTCTTTTTCTTTTTCTTTTCGTCTCTCTTTCTACCTTTCTCTTTTTCTGTTTCTCTGTCTCTCTTTCCTTCTTTCTTTTTCTCTTTCTCGTTCTACTTCGTACTTTTTTAATTAGTTGTTAAATAGAATTAATTTTCCACCTTTATGTACTTTTTGTATAGTTTTTTAGGTCTTTAATGTCTCTGACCACATATGGCTGTGAATCGGGGCATAGCTGGCCAACTGGCAAACAAAATTCCCCCAACGTGTCGGAGGCATTAATAGACGTCATAGTATAGCGTACACACATAAGTCATCTTTGGGCAAAATTTGGTGTCTCTAGCTCTTATAGTCTGTGAGTTCCAGGTGTTCATAGGGACAGACAGACAGGGCTAGATCGACTCGTTTGTCATGCTGATCAAGAATATATATACTTTGTGGGGTCTGCCACGCCTCCTTCGGTCTGTTACATTTTCAGCTCCCGCAAAAGCTAACATACTCTTGTATATACTCATGTACAGAGTATAATAAACTCGTGTACAAAACTTTGTGTCTGTAGCTCTTATAGTCTCTGAGATACAGGATACGGATGGACAGACCATTTATGTACAGAGTATAACAAGCGGATAACTTCGACGTTTATAAGCCACCACAACCCCTAAAGACCTGTACTAAAAACTGGCGTTTTCAAACACATTTAGTTTACTATAATATCAACCACTACATCGAAGACTAACACCATATAACAACTCGTTTTGCGCATGTGTGGACCACCACAATGCTATATGTAGCTCCCTGACTTTTGTGAATATTTATACATACCTTCTCCAGGTACAACTGGAATCTGTCTACAGTCAATATATTTTCAATTTTTCCTTTTTGGTGAGAAGTACAGGGTATTTAAGAGTTGAGCCTACTCGACTTTAGCATTCCTTTCTTGTTTTCTGATGAAACGTCAGAATCCCTGGCGCAACTCTCCGCATTTGCCATCCCCACCAATTTATCGCTGTTAGTTCTGTACCCTTCAGCAGCGCCACACGGTACCACATGGTGCTCACCCTTGCCTTAATTTTCCGCACTAAATACACTTTGATATTTGGCCAAATTAAAAGAAAGCTTCCAAGCTCACAGGGCTAGATACGAGAAGTTAAAGTCAACAATTTTATGTCTGTGATTAACTGTAACATAGAATGGAGGGCAATATCTCTATATACATAAAACAGTAAATCTTGACTGTCTGAATAACTGGCGATCAAAGCACAGAGCAAACGGTAAGATCTAGCAAGCTGAAATTCGAAAATCCAAACGCCAAAAGGAGGAAAACAGGCTCCACGGATTGTATGAAAAATCTAAAATTTTCATGCGATTAATTATACCATGTACCCAAAAGAAATACTAGTTTACTGCGAATGTGTGTAACATACAGAAAGAGGCGTCGCAGACCCCACAAATTAGATACATTCTTGATCAACAGACAAGACGAATCGATCTATGTCTGTCTGTCCGTACGAAGACCTGGATCTCAGAGACTATAAGGGCTAGAGGAACCAAATTTTGCACAAATATGCCTTATGTGTGTACGAAATACGAACTTGTTTTATTTTTGGATGTACAATAAATAAATAAAATCGCTGTCCATGCTCTGCTTGTAGCTCTGCCCGCAGCTGTTGTTGTTGTTGCTTTGACTTATTCCTGTACTGCCTACACACACGCATAGAAACGAAGATGTAAATGTATGCTGTTGAAACTGTACTTTGTATTTAATTGTTTTAATTCATTTAATTTAAAAATTTTTTTTTTTTAATTTCCTTTTTTTGTGTAGAGTACAGGCTATTTTACTGTCGGGCTTGCTCAACTCTACCGTTCTCTATTGTTTTTAATGCCTTGCATGGTTCTGCACGATTTTACTCAAATCTTGTTTTCTTCAATTCTGTTGTAAGCGAAGAACTTTTTTTGCAAAGCTTGTTTTATATTGCTTTTGTACGTAACCTTATCTACTCAATGACATACACTTTTGAAGTTAATTTACTGATACTACTGTCTGCACTAACATATGTATGTACATACGTATGATACATCTCTGTTGTTCCGTCGGTATTGACAGCCTGCCGGTAGTCAGTTTTTGATCAACACCTTACTATAGGCTAAGCCCCTACCGGTGTTTACAATTACGTTTATTCAGGCAGTTTTCCGAAAATGATTAAATTTCGACTGAAATTATAGTGATAAAAGTGGTAAGACTAGTCCTTTTAATGATTAAAATACCTGTAGTAACAGCAAATTGGTGTTCTTATGCTCGGTATTAATAAATAAAACGTATTCGTGTTTAGATATGATCAAACTATGTTGATAGTAGTAATATTAATTCTGAAATGAACATCGATGTTTTATATCGCAAACGAAAATCGCCATGACAAACATCGATGCAGCGATGTATCGAAAAACTCGGTTTTTCATAAAAGTTTGTAATGTAAAACAAGATATGAAAGAAAACGACGAGCGGGATCAATTCTCCTGTGCATATTATATGCGCCCGAAACTATTGTGCTCTTTGGTTACGGGGTATAAAAAGAAGCTAAGAGCGTATCTTTGCAATAATTTTAAAATTTTTAATTCAAAAATATGTGTTATATTAATAAGTCAATATTTAAAATGTATAATGCTAAAGAACTGCTAAGACACCATTCCAAAGTAAGGTGTAACTACCAACATGTATTCACATCATGTAAAATACGTACGTACATACACAAACGCACATTTTAATTCCCGTTAATTTTAACAATGCACGCTTTTTCAATTTCAGTCAGTATTCAGCCTTGATGGTGCCGCCGTATTCGAAACAAAACCCTACTACCAAATAAACATTGAGGGAATCCGGCTAGCTCATTAAGGATATAGTAGGCTCCGAATTTACGTATGGTTTATTAGCAGTTCTTTAGCACTTTTTTGATACCATCCATATCACAGTTTCATTTTGTGTAATTGCTGGGATTTCCCTGTCCGCAACATCGTTATTTTTTTTAAAATCCATCGAAACATCGAATCTAAAAACATTGAGCTTAAATCTAAAACAATCGCTTACGTTAAGATCGATGTATCGATGCAATAAATTTTTAGCCTGAGGCTAGAACAATTAGGTCGCGAACTACAGGGATATGTACATATCTATGTAACAAGAAAGGAATGCTAAAGTCGAGCGAGCTCAACTCTTAAATACCATGTACCTCCCATAAAAAAGAAAAAATTTAAGAAAATTATTTTTAATTAATTTTAAAAAACTATATTAATTAAATTATTTAATTATATTAAATTCAAATTATTCAATACATATATACAAAAGTGGAGACATGTTCATGTACAGTTTCAACAGCATACTTTTACATCAGAATCGTGTCTTTGCGTGTATGTATGCAGCACAAAGTTGAACCAAAGCAGCAACAACATGAGCTACAGAGCATCAGGCAAAGCATGAGCAGCGATTTTATTTATGGATATATCTTCAGAATTTACATATCATGATGAAACTTGGCATACGGGCACATAATTATAAACTGGATGTGACTACCAAAATTGAGTTCGAAATTCCAAGAATTACCGGAATGATGGAAAACACGAATTGCGGGGGAGTGGGGGCTGTATCAAAAAAAAAAACACAAACTCGTCCTTTCTCGGACTTAGGAGAATCTGGATACCAAGTTTGGTTGTTCTAGCACGTATACTTTCTGAGATCCTTGCGTTCATACAGACAATAATATATATACTTTTGGGGGTCTGCCACTCCTCCTTCTGTCTGTTACATACATTCGCACAAAACTAGTATACCCTTTCAGTTTTTGGGTACAGGGTATAAAAATGTACATACATACATACGTTATATTCATAAATATACCAAGTTTAATTGCTACTACAAGACTAGAACAAAAGTGTGCTTGACTGAAACTTGACATGCAAAATGCGGTATTCTGGAACAATTCAACAAACCTGTAGGTAGTCGCAATTTGGCGGGTTTAAAAACTAATTAAAACAGGATTTACAGGGACTTGTGTGCTTCTTACCTTGATGATGACGACAGCCAGAATCTTGCGAAAGCCAATTAGCTCTGTGAGCATACGTCAAAACATAGGCGGCCTATGTCAGAATCATTTGGTCGGCGAGTTTGTCGAGCATACCGAGGACTGTCAGCTGTTTTACTTATGCGTTGAAAATGGTGAAGCAGTATTGGCAACATGTCCATCTACAATGCTTTTTAATCCAGAAAGCAAATTATGTGATACTGAATCGAATGTAAGATGCAAAAACATTACTACCGGCATTGAAAACATTGTCAGCACCCCGCCTAATAGTATTGAAAATTTTCAAAACAACGAAGTCACATATATGATTAAATACTGCACTGTCTCAACTTCTCATCAAAATGACAATACCATTATTTACATGGGCAGCTCAACCAGTTGCAGTCAGTATTACATTTGCTACCATGGACAACCCATACTACAGACATGCAGTGAAGAGCTACATTGGAATGCAGTAACAGGTAAATGTGATCTACCGGAACTAGCCCAATGCACGTTGAAAAAACAGGAACCGTCCAAATTGCAAGTTGACAACGAATTTATTCACTGTCCCGACTATGGGCAACATCTTTTCCCTCACATGCAACGTTGTGAATTCTTTATATATTGTGTTAAAGGACATGCTACATTACAGCAATGTCCGTTTTATTATTATTTCGACGTGAACACAAAAAGCTGTCAATGGTCACGAACAGCAATGTGTGTGCGTGATTTGGAACTTCCTCTACATTCACGTTAATCACGTACACGTTAAGTATCCACTTTTCAAATTCGGTTGGATTCAAATGTATTTTTATTATGTCTAATGTTTCTGCCCAAACCAAAAAATTAACTATTAGATCGATTAGTCATCTGTATTGTATTGAAAAAAAATGCATGTCAATATTTTCTTAAATAAATAAATATAGGTTTAAATAGATTAATTGATTAAAATAAACACTTACAGAAACTCATCATTACACTTCTGCAGCTGTCACGTTTTTCATGCATTTTCGATCTGAATATACATATATAGTATGTATATAAGTAGGTTACTATCTAATATGACTACTACAATTAAATTAGTCCTACACACCAATCCGATACCTCTTGTATATGTATGTAATACGTATATTCTTCAAGATAAGTGCTGTTGGAAAAACCAAATATTTATTTTTTTCAAATTAATTATATTTGTATACTCTGTACATGAAATGTACAAGAGTATATTAGGTTTGCGCGAGCTGAAAAATGTAACAGGTAGAAGGAGGCGTGGCAGACCCCACAAAGTATATATATTCTTAATCAGCATGACAAGACGAGTCGATTTAGCCCTGTCTGTCTGTCTGTCCGTCTGTCCGTCTGTCCGTCCGTCCGTCCGTCCGTCTGTCCGTACGTCCTAGATCTCAGAGACTATAAGAGCTAGAGACACCAAATTTTGCACAAAGATGCCTTATCTGTGAATTCTATACGAGTTTGTTTTATTTTTTTGATTTTTCGCCCCACTTCCCCCCTATGGGGGTTTTCCCGATTTTCCATTCGTATAATCGCCTATATCTCGGAGACTATAAGACCTAAGAACACCAAATTTTAGTCCCATATGCCTTGTGTGAATACGCAGAAAATGTATATTTCCCTCCCTCCCCCCTCCCCTCCCTCCCCCCACTCCCTTGGAATTTCGAACTTAAACTTGGCAAATACCTTCAGTTAGTTACCTTAGTTATTATGTGTCAGTATGCCAAGTTTTACCATGATAGACCGATTTAACAAGAAGTTATAGCCATAAATATATTTGCTGCTGCAGCGCTGCTCAAGCGCTGCCTACGGCTGTTGTTGATGTTGCTGTTTGGTTGACTGCTAACATGTTTACACAGACACGAATAGATGCGCATAGGCATACATACACTCACACAGACGCAATTGCTAAGTAAATGTGCAATTATACACCATTTACGTGAGTTCGAATACCGAGAAAGTAAAATGGATTACAATTTTTTTTTTTTAATTTTAATTTTTTTTATTTTCTATAATTATTGTAAATATCTGTATATACAGAGTATTTCAAAGTCGGGACAACCGACTTTAGCTTTTTTACTTGTTAAAATTAAATAAATTAATAAAAATTAATAAAAAAAAAATATATATATATAATCGTACATAAAATACATTTTCATTAATATTGTATCTATGTGTGTCAATGTATTCGAGTATCTATATATATAAAACAGTTTGCCCTGACTGATTGGTGATCAACGCATAGCTCAAAAGGTAAAAGCTAGGAAGCTGAAATTTGAACTCAAGTATCCTTTCGTAGGGTAGGTGCCCAGTAAGAAGGGATTTTGGAAAATTCGAGCTCCAAAGCGGGGAAAATAGACCCCAAAGTTTATATGAAAAATCTACAATTTTCATCTGATTAACTTCAAACTTAGTTTGTATACTTTCAGAAAAATTCCATACAGAAAATTGGTGTTCTTATGCTCGGTATTAATAAATAAAACGTATTCGTGTTTAGATATGATCAAACTATGTTGATAGTAGTAATATTAATTCTGAAATGAACATCGATGTTTTATATCGCAAACGAAAATCGCCATGACAAACATCGATGCAGCGATGTATCGAAAAACTCGGTTTTTCATAAAAGTTTGTAATGTAAAACAAGATATGAAAGAAAACGACGAGCGGGATCAATTCTCCTGGGCATATTATATGCGCCCGAAACTATTGTGCTCTTTGGCTACGGGGTATAAAAAGAAGCTAGGAGCGTATCTTTGCATTAATTTTAAAATTTTTTATTCAAAAATATGTGTTATATTAATAAGTCAATATTTAAAATGTATAATGCTAAAGAACTGCTAAGGCACCATTCCAAAGTAAGGTGTAACTACCAACATGTATTCACATCATGTAAAATACGTACGTACATACACAAACGCACATTTTAATTACCGTTAATTTTAACAATGCACGCTTTTTCAATTTCAGTCAGTATTCAGCCTTGATGGTGCCGCCGTATTCGAAACAAAACCCTACTACCAAATAAACATTGAGGGATTCCTGCTAGCTCATTAAGGATATAGTAGGCTCCGAATTTACGTATGGTTTATTAGCAGTTCTATAGCACTTTTTTGATACCAAGCCATATCACAGTTTCATTTTGTGTATTTCCTGGGATTTCCCTGTCCGCAACATCGTTATTTTTTTAAAAATCCATCGAAACATCGTATCTAAAAACATTGAGCTTAAATCTAAAACAATCGCTTACGTTAAGATCGATGTATCGATGCATATTTACATCAGTAGTTGATGGATACAAATACAATTTATTGTCAATCATAGTGACATTAATTTTTTGCATTTCATGTTGGAAATGAGGGGCTGTGAAAGATGTGGTTAAATGAATACATAATATGTACATTAGTAAAAATCTCTTCTTACATCGAAATTCTGTACAATAATATGTAGTGGTAATTAAGTGGTGCAGATTGTAGTTATGTAGCATACATACATACATATGTATGAGTATATTAAAAAGTGTTTATGAATAAGTGCACTCTTATTTATTGTGTTTGTATGCAAGAAGAACATACATATTAATTTTCTAAGTTAATTTTGGTTAGTTTCACTGACATATGTACATATGCTTAGTCCTGTTGTCTAGTATAAGATGACCATTAAGAAATCATACTGGTCATGTACCACTAATCGAGAAAAGGGCAAAACCTCTGCAATAAATGATTAGCCTGTGGCTAAAACAACATAGTGTCGCGAACTACAGGGATATGTACATATCTATGTATGTAACAAGAAAGGAATGCTAAAGTCGAGCGAGCTCAACTCTTAAATACCCTGTACCTCCCACAAAAAAGAAAAATTTGAAAAAAAATTTTTTTTTATTTAAAACAAGAAAAGAATGCTAAAGTCGAGCAGGCTCAACTCTTAAATATCCTGTGCCACCCCACAAAAAAATAAATTAAATTAATTTAGGAGAATCTCGATACCAAATATGGTTATTCTAGCTCTTATATTTTCCTGAGATCCTTGCGTTCATACAGACAGACGGTCAGACGGACATGGCTATATCGGCTTGTCATTCCGATCACGAATATATATACTTTGTGGGGTCTGCTACGCCTCCTATTGTGTTTTCCATGTACACTCGCACAAAACTAATATACCCTTTTACCCTTTGGGTACAGGGTATACAAATTATATTAATTAAATTAATATTTAATTAACATGTACAGTTTCAACAGCATACTTTTACATCAGAATCGTGTCTTTGCGTGTATGTATGCAGCACAAAGTTGAACCAAAGCAGCAACAACATGAGCTACAGAGCATCAGGCAGAGCATGAGCAGCGATTTTATTTATGGATATAACTTCAGAATTTACCTATCATGATAAAACTTGGCGTACGGGCACATAATCATAATCATATCTGTTACATACATTCGCACAAAACTAGTATACCCTTTCACTTTTTGGGTACAGGATATAAAAACGTACATACATCTATATATATAAAACAGTTTGTCCTGACTGATTGGTGATCAACGCACAGGCCAAACGGTAAAAGCTAGGAAGCTGAAATTTGGGCATAAGATGTCTTTTATGGTGTAGCTGAGCACTAAGAAGGGATTTTGGAAAATTCGAGCTCCAAGTGGTGGGAAACTGGCTCCAACGTTTGTATGAAAAATCCACAATTTTCATTTAATTGGCTTCAAACTGGGTTTGTGTAATCTATAAAAAAATTAAAATAAACACTGCATACTTGGTTTTTCACCATTTTTCCTGGGGTATGAAAAAGGGATGTTTTTCCGCTCAAAGAAATGAACAGGCTAATAACAGTTTGCGGCGTTCAACTAGGAGACGTAACGTTACATAGACAAGAAAGGCGCATGGACTTAGAATTTCGGGAGCCAGAACAAGCGGCCGACACTTTGCGTCGAGCCAGTCGTAGGTTAGATATAGATTACCAAGAATACGAACAAACGCAGAATACATACTTTAGAAGACGGAGACGTGGGGACGCAGAGATTCGGGAAAATGAGCAGGCAGCAGATACTCTGCGTCGAACAAGTGGTAGGTTAGATATAGATTATCAAGAATACGAACAGACGCAGAACACCTTCTTTAGAAGACGTAGACGTACAAACGCAGACTTTAGATCTAACGAACAGAGGCAGGGCGCTGATAGGAGGGCTTTAGTAAGAGCCGATGTTGAAAGCCGCATAGTAGAAAGAGAGCAGGATAGAGTAAATAGGGTTAAGTTAGGGATAATCCTATTAGAAGAAATGTAGAACGAGCGCGCGACACGGTAGCGCGGCGCACCGCTCGAATTTTAGCACGACAAGCAGCATTAGATACCTCGAGGAGAATTAGCCAAGGAGTTAGCGGATATAGAACTAATATGGATAATGTGGAAGCAGAGAATCGACAAAATGCTTCCCAAAATAGAGAGGAACACCTGAATATCTCTCAGGATGTTGGGGTACCCAGCAATATAGATGCTCAGTTAGCAGGTTTTAATAGAACTGTGAAGCTGGGACCAGACCAAATTTGCGTTTGCTGTAAACTCTTATGGTTTCCTCACCAAATGGTTAATATAACTCGATTTTTCAACCATTTTAGTGCGGACATTTTATTTCTTTCCAATCCTTCTGTTGACGGCGTTTTCAAGTTTTGCAAAACATGCGCCCGCAGTATTAAATGTATATAATGGCATAGATTTTCCTAATTTGCCCGATTATCTTAAAGGGATTACTCCTTTGGAGGAACGCTTTATTTCTCCTCGCCTTCCATTTATGATTATTAAGTATTTAGGTT